CATCATACACCACTCATCATACACCACTCATCATACACCACTCATCAAACACCACTTATCATACACCACTCATCATACACCACTCATCATACACCGCTCATCATACACCACTCAGCATCCAGTTAGCTCTAGTTTCAAGAGCTCTAGCTCCAGTTAGCTCTAGTTGCAATAGCTCTAGCTCCAGGTAGCTCTAGTTTCAAGAGCTCTAGCTCCAGTTAGCTCTAGTTTCAATTGCTCTAGCTCCAGTTTACGTGGCAGGTGCAGCATTTTGTGAACCTCCATGTGCAGATTTCGTGGCAGGCACAGCACTTTGTGAACCTCCATGTGCAGATTTCGTGGCAGGCGCAGCACTTTGTGAACCTCCATGTGCAGATTTCGTGGCAGGCACAGCACTTGGTGAACCTCCATGCCCAAGCTTTGAGACCACTCAAAACTCATCAAAAGCTCCTGGTGAGTGGTCCACTGTGCATCTTGAGCCAAACCCACAGTCTGAACGACAGCCTCCTTCACATGGTCCCTCAACGCAAGAGAACAACTATACTGGGCTGATGTTGTGGGTTTTCTCACAAAGCAGCAAAAACTCTCCCTGGAACTAAAATTGGCCAACGTGGCTGGCATGGGCCCGAAAGAAAGACAATTTCGCCACCCTTTCTATATAGACATGTTTTTTGGCGGGGGTCATTTGGTAGAAACTTTTCGGATGTGCCATTTTGTAGAGCCGATAGCCATTTTTTCTACAAAATGACCGTTTGAGGTGAAGCTCTCCAAGAAGGCCAAGAAGAGAATGGCTCCAGCCGGCGCGGGGCGTGGCGCGTGGGGCCTTGGTGGTTTGCGGACGGGACGGGGCAGGACGGGATCGTATGGGGGTCTGGACGAAAGAAGTGGAAGAAAAGTACAACCAAGTTCAAGCATGTTTAAGTCAAGCCAATCTTTCAAGTGGTCTCCAGCGTCGGAGGTTTGGTCCTGAAGGCTTGACAGAGGAAGAATTGGTACCTCAAACCTGAAGATCGATCATGTGCCAAACTCCAAAGGTTCCCCAAAACAGCAAATTTTTGGTCAGATAGAAGAAGTTGGCGAATTTGATGGATCAATTTGTGAAGTGTCATGGCTTTGGGAGGTGAACGTGTTGATGCTAGGTAGGAACCGAGGAGGAACCTTGCAGAAATCAGACACCGTTTGGTGTGTAGATTCAACCGGTTTCGAGAATAAACCCGAAAGCAGAGACCTTGCTCGATGTCACTAGGGAGAGCAATGTTAGGAAGAGATTGAGGGAAGGATTAGACTCGACTCGTATGATCCACGCAAGCCAAATAACCTGGGAACGCCCCAGAAAACCGCCCCAGTGGCCACCGCCCCTGCTGCAGGGCAAGCGTGGGCTGGTCGCCTTGTTTGATGATCGTGCAATTTGTGACAGTCATGGGCTCAGGGGACGACCAGAGCAGAGCAGCGCTATGATGCGTTGCATCAGTCAATCCATCCAAAGTATCTCCGTCAAAGAAGGTAAAGCAATTGATTGCTGCATCTGCTACGTCATAGAAATACAGACACTGAAAGATGGCACTTGGAAGACGCGACCAGAAACGGTAGTGGGTCAAAAGCTATCTCGGCAAGGTGTGCTTTCGTGCTAAGAACAATGCCCCCCTGCTTGGACCGAGCTGAAGCCGGTGAGTCTGGCCAAGTGCACACCCATCCTTGTTGATGAACGGGAGAGGCTCCTGCAAAATATCAAATCTTCCCATTTCGATTGCGGAGGTCGAGGTGGCCTCTTTGTCCACGGATCGTGTGTGATCCAGGGATCAGTCTTTGGTGGGACAATCTCTTTCTTGGCGGATGCACTGGCCTCAGTAGGCTTGGGGCTCTGACGTGCTTCATCAAGACCACCTGCTGCAATCACATGCGCCGGAAAACGGCCTTCAAGGATGCGGAGCAGGCACCAGTTTCTGACATTGATTGTAAAGTCCAAGAAGTCAGCAGGAACATTTGCACGAATCCATTCCAAATTGGCCTCATTTCTGATGGTGATGTTTTTCCTTTAGCTCCTTATCCCACAAGCAAGGCACTTGTGGAAAAAACTTTTCAGGCCCCGAAAAGTTTGGTTTCCACATTCGGGGGTTCGGTTCGGTTGCGGTACGGCTTCTACATGAATGCTTCGGTTCGGTATCGGTTCGGTATTGTGCGTACCCTGACGGTTCGGTATCGGCTTGTCTTCGCTTCGGCTCGGTGCTGCGGAAAAATATTGTTGAAACGGCCATGGCTTGCCAAGCCTTATGCTGATTTTGGTTGCATGCCCAACCAAGGTGGCTTCCTGCAATTGAGAATGGCAAGCTGGTGCACAGCTATGACCTCTAGCCAACATATCGCCGTATCGCTATGTTGCTACAGCGTGCCATAGAATTTAGATGCGCATGAATGTTCGACCCACATTCATGAACCTCGAACCCAAGGGGAAATTGCTGGAAGTTGTTGCAGGCGGCCCCATCGCACCATCAAAGGTTGTATGCATTTCCACCCTCAGCTGTGGATCAGTGGTTTTGGACACCCCCAAAAAAAACACGTCCAAACACATGCTTTCTGCCACGTGTCGGTGTCAATTTCTGTGACCCCAAGGACATTGGTTGCAACGCTGCGACTCGCAGCCCGAGGAATTGTCATATTTTCAAGAGCCATAATGTGTCATATGTGCATCGAATCCACCCAACACACACCGGCCGTGTGGCAAGGGGTGCCTGAGTGGGGGACTTTCTCACAAGCAGCCCCTCAACGAAGGGGGTTTGAATCTACACCAAGCATAGAACACCAGATCCATAAACTCTATATGCCCCTTTAATGACAGCATGTTCAAGGCATGTAAGTAGCCACTGTACCTCCTGAATGGTTCCTGCGCCCGGTCACTCATGTTCACATGCTGCCTGGGATTGCATGGCCCCACTCGCCATTGGAGTCACCTGCAGGGTCTTCAGGCCGCAAACATCTGTAGTTGTACCCGGTCCGTGGTTCTGAAGCAAAAGGTCCGCCCGTTTGGGTTCATGAATGAATTCCATGTGTTCAACATGTCAAGACAAACTTACCACCGCAGGTTCGACGCGCGCATGTTTTCTGTCATGTTTCCGTTGGGTTCCAGTTTGGTGCGTGTTCGCTCTTAGGACCTTCAAGTGGAAGATGCCAATGCCTCGGGGGTCGCACCGCTGCTCATCACGCTGGATGGCAACGCCTCGGCACCCGTACGCACTACCACGGCCACAGTGAGTGGCTGGGCCTCGAAGAGACACACTCCGTTTGAGGCGTTTGGCATGGAGCCCGGACGTAAGAGCGATCTGTTCCTGAACAAAAGCAAGAGATACCAAGAGTTTGGAAGAAATTCAATGTTTTGCAAAGCGACTACGGGTGAACGAAAAAGCACGGGAACCATGCAACCTGATGGTAGTCATCCTGAATTCCGAATCAGCAGCAATGGCAGAGTGCCCCCCATAGTTGGTCTACTTGAAAGCGACTATTAGTTTTGAGGTAGTTCGTGTTTGAACCCTGCATTTGAAGGCGATCCCTCAATTCCCAAAGTCACCAAAACAAGAGGAAGTGTGCCACTAAGTTCACTGTTGTTTGACCATGCCTGACTGGGCTTCACATGACCTAAGCCATGTGATCATCTTGCTACTGTAGCTTAGAAGTGCTCCTCTCATGACCAACTCTCAAACCGCACCAACCTCGCCACATTTGCTCCACGCCAACACCTGCCGCGCCGCCCGAGGCTCCGACACCTGGCGGGACGCCGTGCCGGGGCGCAGCTACCGCGCGGCGCTGCGCGCGCGCAGCGACGAGGCCATCAGCGAGTGGTCGGAGTGGTCCGAGAGCCGCTTCTGCATCAGCGAGCCAGGCCATGCTCGTGCCACGGGCGGTGAGAGGGGCGGAAAGGTTTTCGGTTTGATGTGTTTCTTCTTTTGGGGTATGCTTTGGGAGTGGTTTGTGGTGTGATGGGGTTGAGAGGTGTTGTGGGATGGATGCATGAAGGTGTGGAAATGCGGAAGCTGTTTTGTTTTAGTTTGCCTGATTTGGGTGTATTCATGGTTGCTTATTGCAGGATGACGATGTTGAGGATGTTGGCTGACACATAGAAGTTATGTGCGGTCGACAGATGAAGGATGGTGCAACAGGGACAAACTTGGAATCATGTCTCTATATATCCTCAAGCTGTAGACCTCCATATTGTAATGTTTTGCTGTTTCGCCGTTAGGACCTAGTGTCCTCATAGTTCTTTGCACTTCTTCAAACCTGTAGAGTTTCACCGTGACCAACCCACGTGACCGCTTCACGGCCCAGCGCGACCCGGGGCGCCCACGGCGCAGGCCTACCGAACCCGCCCCAGCGCGACTGGTCGGTGACGGTGAAAGCCGGACGGGTGCAGCTGCTCTGGGACACCGTGACGGCGGAGATGGCGGGCGACGACGATCTCAGCGAGCTGGGAGTGTCCTATGAGATCTGGGGGCGCCCGTATCCTCAAGGTCCCTGAAAGTTGCGATCGTCGGATGTGTGATGTGTAGTTGTTTTGCGAGGATGGGAGGAGGTCGGCAGAAGAAACTTAGTAGACGTGACATGTTGTTTCACAAAGCACATCCAAAGCATACCCAAAGCCATCAAAACTCAAAACCTGTAATTGCTGTGGGTTGAACAAAGATAATGGTGCCGCCACCTTCCAGGTAGATTTTCTTTGCATACCTTTATTGTTTTACACTGACTTTGCTCGCACGCGTGGCATATCTTGACATAGTGATTCCCTTGTTACCTGAGATTGAATCCAGAGAAAATGAACATTAAGATTCATTAGTGTGAAGGCATGCCCATCTGTGCACATACCTCGCATACAGGCTCAGTTGTCCGTAGCAAAAGGGGGTTCCATCGATCGCCGCTACGTTTTCATGCAAGCGGAGCCGCCCGGGGGCTCATTGAAAATCCCCGGGGAGAGAGCGAAGGAAGTTGAAGTGAAAAGAGGAAGACTTAAAGAAGGAAAGAAGATGGATGCCGAAGTGGCACGAGCGTTGGCGGCGGCGTCCCGCCAATCGGCGGAGATGGCTCAAGAAGCCATCAAGATGCTGAATAAAGGTGAAAAGAAAGATGGAGAGGGCTTTGCAACAGCCAGCAAGGCTGTAAGACCTCCAGATCCATTTGCTCCTACAGGCATGGAAGAAGAGAACAGACAGTGGCAGGACTGGAGGCTGGCCTTTAAAAGCTGGGTTGTGTTCGCTGAAGAGCCCTACGACAGAGAACTTGCGGGCATTGAAGTTTCAGACACGGAGGTGAAGTTGGGAGTGAGGTCCGACAAGCTGCACGCCTGAGGAGCAGGGATTGAAGTTGTTGAGGGCTGCTGAAGTCCGGAGAGGGTATGAAGTTTGGAGACAGTTGTTCTCTGAGCTGGCTCCAAAAACAAGGTTGGTCGCTTGCTCTGCTCCAGGCCTACTTGAGTCAGTCAAGCTTTACAAAGGACAAGGGCACTACAGTGTTGGAGCAGCTGCTTGGCCTTGAGCGTTTGGCGGAAGAGTATGCCAAGGTGGCCAAGGAGGAGATCAGCGACAACACAAAGCTGTCAGTGTTGCTTCGGGCGATGCAAGAGAGAAGGTCCTTGCCCATGAGCGACTATTCCACGGGGATCACACGCCATCTACAGAGAGCTTGCAATCACCAAGGACTATGACAAGGAGATGAGGCCATCCCCATGGACATGGACAGAGTGAAGGGCAAGGAGAAAGGTGACAAAGGAAAAGGGAAGGACAAAGGTGGCAAGTCGAAAGGCAAGCAGAAGGGTAAAGGCTATGGAGGACACAACACCTACGACAGCAAAGGAAGGCAAATCAGAAAAGAGTAAAAGATGGGAAAGGAAGAGAGGGAAAAGGAAAGGGCAAGGGCCTCCCATAAGATGTTTGCCAATTGTGTGGAGGGAAAGGCCATTGGGGCCGTGAATGAGGGCACCGTCAAGCGAGTGATGCAACCTCCACTGTGACGCAGACAGTGGCGGGCGGAGTGTTGGCCAGGCACCTTCGACAGGTTATGCGAAGAATGTCAGGAGGATCTTGGACGAGGATCATGAGATCGCCGTTGGGTCCGCATGGGGAGGGCAGAGTCAGACGCCCTTACATCTAGTGAACATGATGACTGGAGTGTTCAAGGACGAAGATGGAGGACGAAGATGGAGGTGGTCATGCCGTGCCTACTTCATGCACTTCAAGGACTTCACCCAGCACGAAGAAACGAAGGGAACTTGCAGGCCTCACTCAGGGAGGGCACCTTCGTGACAGGTCCATGAGGACAAAGACATGACAATCATCCTTGATACCGGGGTAGGCATTTCGATCCTTCCAATGTCGTTCAAAGGAGTTGGGCTTCCACTGCAAAGACAAGCACGCACTCTCAGAGATGCCCAAGGAGGGTTGACGAAGAAGGAGAACTGCGCCAAGCAATGGTGATTTTGGAGGATGAGAGTGGCCAGGTGGTATAACTCAGAGAGAGCTTTGCGTTGTTGAATGTGGCTGAACCCTTGCTTGCATTGGGAAAGTTGCTTTGAAGAGGATGGAAGATCGAAGGAGAATGTCCTTTTAAAAAGTGATGACTGGATGGTATTTCACAACAGACATGAGGGTACCATTCCTGGTGGTGAGCATCACCAAACAGTACAACGACTAGAGTTGACCTTCCATACCGTGCAACCATCATCTGGAAGAATTGCCTGTGGGAGCTGGTGGACATGGCTGACAAGCGCCAAGATCAAAAAGGAGATAGATGAGTGCGGGAGAAGAGACGAGGACTGTTACCTTTCTTCCACCGGACGATTGATGACTAGATGCCTACAAGAAGTTCAACATCGACGTCAAGAGGAAGAAAGAAGGAAGTGCAGAGGTGGTTGAAGGATGCTTTGGAAAGAGCTTTGAGGGTGGGATGCACGACGAAGGAGACGAAGATGAGGAGGTGGGAGAACAGTTGGAACAAGAAGATGGAGATCCATTTGACAAGAAGAAGGCGCCACTGGATGAAGAGATGAGAGAAGTTGAAGTGGGAGGTGAGTCTCTCCGGGGAACTTCATCCCTAAGCAAGTTGAGGCGAGCATTGAAGAAGCGCGGCCTGGGACGAGGAAAGAACAAGTCAGAAGAATGGAAGATGTTGGTTCACCAACATCAGCATTTTGCTGAGAATTTGAGCATTGAGCTGTCCCGCAAAGAGTTCCAAAAGAAGAAGATGGATGAAGGAGATGAACCAAGAGTCGGTCAGAAAGTGCAACGAATGCCCTCAAAGTCAGGGAGGCAAGCGCATTAGTTGACTCAGCCATGGTGCCAACATTGCAACGCTGGAAGAAGTCAAGATGACTACCATTGGAGGGACCGGCGCGCAGTGAGGCAGAAAGCTAAGGCAGACGTGCCTCTGGACTTTTCCTGACGCAGAGGCGAAAGAAGATCTTAGGATCTAGCAAGGAGACTTGAGAGGAGGAATTGGCGGTGACCTCACGCTCTACAGAAGACAAGGAGGAGGACCTACGGCTTTTGGCTCGCCAATGGCGGTGAGGTTGCCACCCTCCGCGGCAACGGGAGAACGCAAGACACACACAGACACTAGATGAGTCAGAAGAAGAAGAAACTATTCGAGGAGGTTTGGTTGAGACAATCAACCTATGTGGATGACGAAGGCTACATCAAAGAGCGTGAAGCGCATGTGAGAATGGTGAGAGTTGAAAGAGAAGAAGATGAGTATTCAGAAGAGAGCGGGACTATGGAAGTCTTGCAGAGCACATTGAAGAAGAAGCCGACTTCAGAGAGCTGGAAGGTGAGAAGTGTATTTCAGTATCTCATCATGCTTTAGGTGAGACAATTCACACAGACGATCGAAGAAGATCCAACAGATGAAGACATCCCTGCAGGACTGGAAATGTTTTGAGACAGCTGCGGAGGATCATTACGGTGACAGCGCCAGAAACAAGAAAGGAGGTGATGGACTACAGGAGTTTGCACCAATACACCTGTCACATCAGAAGCGGGCATGAAAGCAGAGATTACCCGCTTGAAGAGTCAGGATCGCCAGATGGTTGGATTGCCGCACACTATGGTCCACCCCAGAGGCCACGTGAGGATGGAAGACCAGGCCGCGGGGCCAGAAGACAAAGTCGTGAAATCAAAAGTGAAGATGAAGGCAATGGTAGCATGAGGAACCAGAACCCGAGGAAACCGAGTAAGTCCACTCGAGGGAGTGCACACTGAAGAGGTTCCAAGGGCGCATGGCAGCACGCACCCATGGAAAGGCAGGGTGTGAATGCATTCCCGCGCCGTATACAGACTCAGTCAGTAGTCTCTACGAAAAAACCATCGATCGCCGCTACGTTTTCAAGTGCTTTCTTCGTTGTATTTCAGTCATTCACTGAGCACCATTATTAATTTTGATTCAGATGTCCGTAAAAATTTTGAGGTTATCAATCCCTTCATATTTCTTTTATTTCACGAGCAAAGACACATGTTAACTGATTGGAAAGAAACCAACAGGAATTGATTATTTGCGTTACTATTGCTATTCTATTTGGGATTCGGGTTTATTGATTTTATTCATTACATTTCGATCATTACCATCACTTCTTGTCACTGAAACCATATCTGTGTCATTCAATCCTGAACCAAATTCGTCTTGGGTATTCTTCAGCACATTTTCAACAGTGCTATATTTTAAATCCCATGACAGCTGTAACCTCAAGTCAAAATTTGTTTGCTGCTAATCTTTGGAGGGAAGAGAGTGTTCAAATACTATCACACCACAACGCATACAACTATGTGCCTCCCGTCTCCCAACCTATGCCGAGCCCATCCAAGCGCAATTTATTGAATGGGTGTTCTCGGTCCCCATGTTCCAGGGCAGGGTGCCCCGGAAAGGTCCAGATGATCGAGGAGATTTTGGAGTTGTCAGGGAGACGTTTGATTGTGGCCCGAACTTACCCCCGATCCTACAAGGCACTGAACCCGAACCCCCAACTCCACTCCCCGGCGGGTCCTGGGGCCATGGGTGGACCAGACGGGCCAAAGACCGGCAGGTGACCAGACCAGCTGGCGGAGACTGCACCATTTGATGGCACACGAGGTGGGAAATCCGGCAATTGGGAGGGAAGTGCAACTGGATGGCGCAAGCTCAGAGCTCCGAAGTTTCGTGCAGACTTTACATTGGAATGTGGAAAAACTGGCCATTTGATTCATGGTGCACGCCCGTAAGGGCCTTGCATGTTGGTTGTGTTGAATCTGAGACTGGTGACTGGTGCGATCTCAAAGCAAAGCGATATAAGGCGATTGTAAACGGGTCGGCGGATGACTGCGACAAGACGATTGCATCTTCTTCTTCTCCTAAAAAATGATTGCAGATGTCTGATTCCAGATGGTTCCTACCCTGCCCACCCGATTCGACTTAAAGATTTGCGTTTCCCCTTCCACCAACCAGAGATGTTTTAGTCACCATCATTGGCCTCCACACACTCTCCCCTCCCCGTGGCACTTAGGGCGCGCCTGCCGTGGCCATCGACACCTTTTTCGAGACCGCGGTGACCGCCGTGTGGGCCTTCAAGCTGCGGATCGGCAACCGGAACGGCTACGGGCCCTTCTCGCAGGCCGGCGGGTGGTGGTATAGACCAGTCATCCAAGATTGTGGAGGAAAAGGAGCCTGAAGCCGTTTGGCTGGAGGCATCGTTCTATGTTTAAGCTGACACATCCCAAGCGATGCTCTAATCGAAATTAGATCAATGAAAAGCTGTTCCCCTCCCGGCCAGGCTAGGCGAGACGTCTTGGAAGCGCCCACCATGTACTCCCACTTCTTTCTCACTGAAGACCACTCCAGTCACCATCACAATCCCTCCACCACCTATCTTCCAGTCCATCCTCTGCCTAAGCGCAGGAGGTTTGGCTGAGCACCGGTCAGTTGCCCTCGGAGCCCGTGGCGCTCAGCGCCAGCGTGGCGCTCAACGGGCAGATCGCGCTCACGTGGCGGGCGCCGGTGTCGGACGGCTATTTGCCCCTCACCGGGTACCAGGACCGCTCACGGGTCACGGGGCAAAGGCGTTTGGACCGTGGTCCGGTGAAAGGCGGTGTGGAGGTAGGCGGAGGGGCGAGAGGATTGCTTAGGGCTTTGCTTTGGTTTGTCGTTTTGGTTTGAGGCAAGTGTGACTGACCAAGATCCAACAGTGAGACTCATCCCTCGGAACCTTTGTGATGAGACGGTCTACTTAGTTACTTGCTGATTGAAGGTGGGGGTTGCGTGTGACGCACATTCTACTGAGTAGTGCCGTGAGCGGGTCAGGACATCACAGTCCAACGGAAGTGCACCAGGTTATCTTGAAGAACAGCTTCCTCACCAAAAGGGCTGGTTGCAGAGAGTTCAGGATATTCCTCGTTTTCCACAAGAGCACGATTCGTTGATATTCGTTGGACATTGAAGGGCCGTGCGGTTCAGCACACCCATTTTCCGTGGGCGCTCACCAATCATCAGTCGTCCGAAATGTCCATCCCAGCAGACTGGAGACGCCGAGAACGTGGATTGGAGATGATTGGAGGGGGTTTGTATGGTTGGTTCCCCTCTCCACCCATCCCTACCTGACTGGAAAGTGTTTTTCTCTTCAACATCCCGACATCTACGTGCGATGGTGAAAAGAAATGCACCGCATCCACGGGTGGACCAGGCGCGCTGCGGGAGCGGCGGCTGGGAAGAAGTGGCGAACACCGAGTTCAGCCACCAGACGCTGGGCTCCGGATGAAGCGGATGGGCGGGTCTTTTGCAAGGCCAACACACCTCTGAAATTCACAGAAGCCCATCATCCCCTTTGGCCTCCAAGATGAGGATGCAACGTCGACGCCAAACGACTCAACATGAACCCCGGTTTTTCTTTGGGTTCGTACCTGCTATAGACCGTGTCTTACTGCCCACTGAGCCGCCCCGCACCGGACGGTCGTCGCGGGACGCCCAGGATGCTTTTCTCCCCACCGTCCGGGCTGGTGACCTGCGAGCTGCGGGCCGTGAACGCCGTGGGGGCCAGCTTGGCAGCGCAGAGCTTCGTGACGCTGCTCTGAGCCACGTGAGTGGCAGGGCAAACATCCTCATATTATCCCATATTCATACTAGGGGCACTGCCTAGTGACCGAGCGAAACGAAAACCAAGTCCCTTTGGTTTGGTAACGTGTGGTATAGGTTTCGATTCTGTTGGATGGAATTTCAAGCCTTCTCAAGCACGTGGCTTGGCGATAGGTACAATAATAATCACGGTTGATGTGGTTTGTTTATGTTCGTTGAATCAACAACTTGTCCTGTCGAAGCGATGATTCTGAGAGCTGAACCTGGCTCCGGAAACATGAACGCTCGGCAGATGCCTCACTGGCACATGCCGGCAGTTCGGCAGTGAAGCAGAAGCTGAGCTCCTCATCGTACCTTAGCCGAACTGTTGGTATTTGAGCTTGTACATAAGAGCTAAAACACCTAAGGTGCACAAAGAGCGCACAGCTGGCATCATGTGCGGGAGGGTGTCCTTTCTTGGGCCGTCTCTTGAGACCCTACGGTCAACCGGAAGGTTGCCCGAAGTGGGTTCGATGTTTTGAAAGGGCACAGCATGGCAAAGCGACAACGATTTTAGTCCATCTCCGAACCACCCGGAACACAGCAACAGGTGTTTGGACCTCTGAGGAACTTCCACAATTTGGCTAGATGAGATTGCATCAACTCCAGCTTGTCAAGGGATGAAAGGGGATCTTGCAATTCCTTCAGATCATCCATGAGTCGTTGGAAGCACCACGGATCACAACCAAGAAACCTGCCAATTCCCAAATCGTTTCTCGGTCAAGGTGCTTCCACGAGTTCGATTTGCACCGGTTCGTGGGATGGCTGTGACCGGTTGCATGTTTCAAGGGACATGGGGTCACACTCCGAATTCCGGAGAGCCCGGATGAACCGAGGCAGCCGACGCCTGAAGGGTTACTCAAGGGTGACCGAAGGGTTTGTCATTTTGATAGATCAAAGGCCCCCAATCTCTGAATCTCCCTCCTCATCCTCGTGTGGAAGAGAGAGAGAGAGAGAGGCGCCGATTTCTGTTGTGCAAATGTCTGGCTGACAGCGAGCAGTGATAGCTGTCGAGCATTAGGAGACCAATGAAACGGGAGACCACATTGATAGCAGTCGGCAACTTAGTGACTCTTTAATAGTCAGCTTCAACAATCAGGATTGCATTGGTGTCGCAAAGGATAATGAAACGAACACGAAGAGTGGTTGGCGATCCCTCTTTTGCCAGGTACACCAGTAAGGGGGAGAAAATGATGGAAATTGAAATCTGTGTTTTTTGGCAGAGAAACACCCACCAAACTGCATGCCCAAGGAAGTTCCATGTTGCGCCCGATGAGGAAAGAATGGAAAAGAACTGATGACACATGTTCTCACATGTAAAAGATGAGTCACTCAAATCGTGTGTTGGTGGTTCCATTGTTCTCACCGCTTTCAGAGCGGCCCTTCATGTGGCCTTGGCAGTGATGCCGTTACCCGCAGTGTTGAGCGAGCGACTTGGCAGAAGAACGACGTGGGTGACGTGTTTGATGAAAGCCACAGAGAGATGGCTGTGTAATTTGAACAGGACCTCCTGTCACTTCAATGGGTAGACTGGGCGATTTTACCGTCAGTAAATCAAACTGGGAGGTCAGAAGTTGTATTGTAGATGTTTGTGTTGAACGGGGTCCAATGTTTGGTGGTTGAACTATATAGTCTAGTAGATACCCAGGAAGAAGTGAACGTGGAAACATATTCATGTTTGCTGTCATATGTACGAGTACGTACGCTCTCCTTTCAGGGTGGGGAGGGTTCCCCCATTTTTCTTAACTTGTGCTGCGTTTGGCCAATCCACTTGCGCTGAAGGCCTCCGCCGGCAGCCACGGTCGGACAGATTGATGTTTTCCTCGAAAAGGGAGGGCTTCAGATTGGGTGCAGCGATGCAAGGCCAAGGAGACCACCAAGACCCAAGCAAGACTCCACTGAACACTGGTGGTCTTCCTGACACTGGGTTGACAGACAGTTTCAGTGACATGGGCTGACAAGTGGCTTTTTCCTTGTCCGTTTTCACTGGGTTGACTCAGTCACTGTGAACCCTGTAACGTTTGTGACATGACATGTTTCTTCCACCACCACGGTGGTCGCTTCTTCCACGCCGCGCGCGCTCCTCGTCACCGAGGTGCTTGGCCGTCCCTCGTCGGGTGAGCGGTGGATTCGACGGGCGAGCGAGCGACGAAGGCGAGTGATGCCACGTAATGATGTACTCAGAGTGGAAACCTCACAAAGTGTCCAGCAAAGTCTCTATACCATTGATATAGGTCCTTTAGGATGCTTTGGGTCTTTCGAACCACTTAGTCCCAGTTCTGTGCACCGTTTTGGCCAGAACGTCCGGGCCTACCCAATCAGAGGACAACCTCTAAACATCTCTCAACCTTCAGTTTGGGGAATTGGGCTTTCTCCACGAAACAAGGAACCGGTGGGACAGTTACAGCCTCGCTGGTTCCGCCCGCGGCCCATCTCTTCGCTCCAAGGACTTGACGAAGCACATCTCTTCGCTCCAGGACGCACAGCAAACCGGGCTCCCAAAGAAGACCGAAGGGTGACGAAAACGCATTAAAAAAGCCCGATGGTGCTTGGGGTGTCCCCATAGTGTCCCTCAACAAAAAGAGCTATTTGGAAAATAGCTGTGTGTGTGTAACCCTTGGAATCATAGGGATCCTTTTGGATTTGTTCGGTTTGCTTTTTGCTGGTTTACTTTATGTCAGAGCAGGGGGTAGCGGCAGATCATTTGGGACCGCTACCAACGAAGACGCCCATTTGATCTGGTGATATCGGAGTTGGCCACTCCGACGTACCTGCTTTCTTCGAACTTTTGAACTTTTGTAAAGGGCTAATGAGCTCCGCAGACTTGCACGCTCCGACGTCAACCTGTCGCTTCGAACCCGGCTTACGCTTTGGGCCTCCTTTCCTTTTAAGACCTCCAGGATTCGATGGCTTCTTACTTGTACCCTTAGGAAATGGAACCCTAGGCCGGCGTGTGGCACCGCATTCAGTTCAGTACACCATATCCTAAGTGTGTTTGGCCTTGTGCCAACCCGGGATGAGCCCGCAGAGTGCCTCCCGTGGACCCGTCGAACGGGTGTACGTCGAACGTATCCATTGCCCGGATACAGAGCAGCTCGCAGCGAGCGTAGGTGGCCTAGGCCGTACGTACGATGATTTTTGTCTCATCTTTGGAATTCCAAGTTGGCTTATGCCTGTACGTGACCGCAGCGGTCAAAGCAGCCAGCCATTTCGGCAGGGCACAAGGTGACCACAGCGGTCAAAGCAAGTTTAAGGTCCATTGGGACCTGTTGGAGCCTTAGTATCTCAGTTGATTCCTCCTTCTCCGCTCCCCGCTCCTCTTTGGTGTGTCCCTGGACGCTTGTTTCGTAGCTGGGAGCACCTCTCTCTCTCTCTCTCTCGCTCTCTCTCCTTTTCTTGACGGGTGTGTCCTTGGACGCTTGCGTGGTAGCTGGGAACACCATCGTCTCATTCCTTTTCTCGTCTGGTGTGTCCTTGGACGCTGGGCTCGTAGCTGGGAGCACCTCTCTCACTCTCTCTCTCTCTCTCTCCCTCACTCTCCCTCGCGCTCTCGCCCTTCCTTACGCCGGGGTCTACACCCTACCGGATAACAGCGTGCAGGGGTGCCTGGGCCTTTCAGTGTGCAGCTGGCAACCGCACCAACCATCCTTCCTCCAGTTTACAAGAAACGGTCACTTCTTTTCCGTTTCTTGTTCTTCCTCTTCCTGCGCCTCCACACACCTTTCCTGTCCCTTCCCTACGCCGGGGTTTACACCCTACTGGATAACCTCGTGGTGGGGTGCCTGGGCCTTTTACTGTGCAGCTGGCAACCGCACCAACCATCCTCACTGAAATCTCACCCCACCTTTGGCGCGGAGCTTAAAATCTTGCCTCCCTTCGGGGAGGCGTGTGTGTGTAACCCTTGGAATCATAGGGATCCTTTTGGATTTGTTCGGTTTGCTTTTTGCTGGCTTGCTTTATGTCAGAGCAGGGGGTAGCGGCAGATCATTTGGGACCGCTACCAACGAAGACGCCCATTTGATCTGGTGATATCGGAGTTGGCCACTCCGACGTACCTGCTTTCTTCGAACTTTTGAACTTTTGTAAAGGGCTAATGAGCTCCGCAGACTTGCACGCTCCGACGTCAACCTGTCGCTTCGAACCCGGCTTACGCTTTGGGCCTCCTTTCCTTTTAAGACCTCCAGGATTCGATGGCTTCTTACTTGTACCCTTAGGAAATGGAACCCTAGGCCGGCGTGTGGCACCGCATTCAGCTCAGTTCACCATATCCTAAGTGTGTCACACCCTGGTTCTAAGGGTTTTCCACGTTCTCACCTTTCCACTGTAACTGAGGCATGTTTCACAATTTTCCACCGACACAAGGGTTCCTACCGCTCGAAAGGTTTTCCAGCAGGGGGCACAGGCCCATCGTGGATACCTGTGCCAACGAAGCTGTTCCACGATGGGGGATGCGGAGATTGATCACCTCCGTGTACCTGCGACCAACTTTTGCTCAAGCTGTTCCAATTTGATCGGTTTGTTTTATGGTCCTTCCATGTTTCTTCCCCTAAACCCCCTTTCCTGCAGCTGTGCCTGTCACCGCATCGACCTCGAGGCCACCCGGAAACAATGTTCAACAATACGGTTGTTGCGGACTCATGCGCCTTTCCGTTCCCTCACCTTTCTTCCCACCGTGGTAACTGAGTCTAACTGAAAACCAAGTTCGAAGTGTGATTTTTTTAATGACGCACCATGCAAGATCTTGTTCCCTTCTTTTCTCCATCCTTCTTTTTGTTGATAGAAAAAGAAAAACCTGGGGGCAAACTGCGGCAGCACCCCTCTTCGCTGCCCCCCCTTCAGGACGAAGTCGAACGGCTGCGCGCCGACAACCGCACTCTGAAGCTGGAACAGGCGCATCACGCGCTCGCCGAGCGCCATCATGGCTTCCAGGTTCCCCGGCAAGAACGTGGACCCGGGTGAAGCCGGGCTTCAGAGGGAACGTGGAAGTGGAAAGACTTGGTGGACCCCCCCCTTTCCGTTTTTTTTGTTTGAAGCATCGACTTGCAAGGAGGGGGGTCCTGATCCACTTCA